CAGAGGGGCGCAAACGTTTGAGTCGAAATCAGGGTAAGCACGGCGGACATTCCGATTGCGGGGGCCGGAAGAGAGAGGGAGCCGGCACAATGGAGGGACACAGAGACCACACGCGCAGAGCACAAGACACTCAGCCAGGGGGCACTCCCTCTGTTTGGATGGTGAGCACCTGTCCTTGCGCCTCTCTTCGAAAAATGGGGGTGGGGGGGGGGGGGGGGGCTCCGAGACGCTTGTGATGAGCGGTGTGCCTTTGTCTCAAGGCGAGACGCCCCTCGAGATCTCCCACAATCTCCCACAATCTCCCACAATCTCCCACAATCTCAAGGCGAGACGCCCCTCGAGATCTCCCACAATCTCCCACAATCTCCCACAATCTCCCACAATCTCCCACAATCTCCCACAATCTCAAGGCGAGACGCCCCTCGAGATCTCCCACAATCTCCCACAATCTCCCACAATCTCAAGGCGAGACGCCCCGCGAGACGGCGATCGTGTGGAGCTTCTCGCGCCGGCACCTCAAGTGCGCGCTGCTGCTGCGCGAGCACGAGGCGGAGGACGCGCCGCCCCCGCTCTCCGACAAGTCCGACAGGCAGATCGCCCGCAATCTGCCACGATCTCCCACAATCTCCCACAATCTCCCACAATCTGGCGCAGTCTCACACAGACCTCCGACAAGCCCACAGGTACATCGCCGCGGCGATGGCGCGGCTGGCGGCGGCGGTGGAGTCAAACAGGGCCGACCTCGTCGACAGCGAGGAGGGTGGCGGCGAGGGAGCCAAGCTGGCGCTTCCGTCGGAGCTGGAGACTGCGTGCATGCGCCCACTTCGAGTCGAGCGGCGGCACTCCTCCCCTCGTAGGCCCTTCCGTCGGAGCTGCTCTCTGCGTACATGCGCGCCGGCTCCGCGCTCGGCGACGTCGGTATGATCAAGAACCTCGCCGCGGCGCCGACCAGCCTCGCCTTGCGTACCGGAAGGGTGCGGGCAGCGTGAGCTCTTCACGCCGTGTGCTGCGAACAGGCGCAGCCCGACCTCGTCAGCGTGATGACTCAGTGCTCTTCATCCATTGAGCCGGTGTCGTTCGTAGGCGCAGCCCGACCTCGTCAACGTGCCCGACGCGACGGGGCGCACGGCGCTGCACGCCGCATGCGAGAATGGGCACGTCGGCATCGCCGCGGCGCTGCT